TCCGTGCTTGTTTGAAGCTACACAATGGGCTATCTGTGCTCTACCCCCCCCCCCACCACCACGGGTATCGAAACCCGGTTTCTAGCGTCGTAAGTCCGCAGACATACCGCTGTGCCACTTGGGAACTCTGTCTTTTATTATTAGTAAAAGTTCTATGGATAATATATTGGTATATTGGTAAGAAGATGGTTAAATAAAGAATGAATGAAACAGTTACGTTATTACCAGCTGAAATTTACCCCTCAAGTTCAGTTAATTTACAACTAAAAGATATCCCTTCCGTAACAATAAGACATCAACAAGGTTGGTTTTCTACTTAACAGTATAGGCTACTCGATGTACTATTTAGATGACAATTTTACGTTGATAACCGCGTGATTAATATAGAATATAACACGCTCTCGTTACATTATAACCTATATACAGGATAATGCTCGTGTAATTGTGTGATAGTTTTTTTTATTTAGAAGGCAGTTTTCCGTTAATAAACATGTGATTAATATAGAATATAACACGCTCTCGTTTCGTTATAACCCATATACAGAATAATGCTCGTGTAACTGTATGAATTGTTATTTAGCAGGCAGTTTCCCTTGGAAAACGTGATTAATATAGAATATAACACTTTTCGTACAGTATAACCTATACATACAAGGTGACGCTTGTGTAACACTATAAGATGTTCTATTTAGAAGGAAATTTCTCTACTTATGTAACCTATGTAGGAGAAAATGCAGCAGTGACAATGTAATATATGTCGAAGAAAATCCTTGTGGGAAATATGAACGGACGATCTAATTAGTAACCTATTCCTGTGTAACTATGCTCTTGTACCATGCACGATCGCTTTGTTCAGTAGATTGATTAGTCGTCTCCTCTAAGCAGCTGTCACCCAGCGCGCCTGATTGAACACATACACGTTAGCAACGACTTTCAGCTTGTTTCTCACTGCTTTCTCGTGCACCTGTTCCCAGTTAATGGCTGCGAGCTATATAATCTTTTTAGCAGCGCACGTGATGCACCGCGGATACCCAGCTCTTTCTCTCTGCCTTACAGCTGCTGAGTAATAACTTGTAGTTCAGTTCAGATCTGTTTTAGCCTATTCTAATTCAGAAAAGATAAACAAACGCATTGCGTATGTGAGAGCCTTTATTTTCGCTATTGTAATTTTAGTGTCTTAATAATTTAAGTAGCTTAAATAAAATAGAACAAAACTACACGTGTGTAATTAACTTCTTATATAATGTGCAATTCGTGTTTGTCGAAACAAATATGATAGGTTCGCCTCGTTTTTACCATTTTCAAACAACCATCACACGGCATCATCATTATAGATCATGCGTTCCTTACAAAGGTGTTTTAAAAATTGTAAATCGTTGGTTATGATGCTTGGTAGGTAAACAAATGTGACAATGTTTAAACGCATTAAACTGTTTGAAATTGGACAATTAGTCTTTCATTTAGGTGAGCAGAAAATGATATTTTGACATTCTAATCAGTTCTCGTTGTGTGTTTGCAACTTTATTTTTGTTTTTCTTCCGTGAACTCCTCACAGTTCTGGAGCTAGCAGGACCTAACCTCGTACTCGGAGTGGTCAGGGGTTTTTCCTTATTTATATGGCGTAGTCCCCCTCCCTTAGCAAGGGTGGTGATAAAACTCGCCAGGAAGGTTACTCAGACATGATGGAGGTTTCGAAGTAGGTTTCCGAGATCGCTGAACCCAAATCTGGCATTGAATTTTGTGTTTCTGCCTCCATCGGGATCGCGGGGGCGCCATGTTTGAAACTGTTTTCATATCCCCATTCACAATCTACCGTAACCAAACATGGCATGCGTGCTCAGTTGCCACGTTTGAGTGTCCTAACGGTTTTTTTATTAGTTTTTTTGTGTGGGCACAAACCCCTTGTATAGTATGTGAGGAACCCCAGCAGTTGTTAATGGAATTAACTGCTATTTTTTGTGTGTGACTCGTGTTATTAAGGACCTTGTAACCAAAAAAGCATAGAAGGTTTAGAAAAAGTATGTTTAAAAAGCCGTATAGGGCTCCATCGTTTTGTTTTTTTTTTTTTGTTTAAGACGAACAGGACTGGAGTTTGTGACTTAATAACGACAAACAAAACAAAACAACAACAGAAGAGTTGCCTGTGGTTCAGACTGAGTATGATTTTGAACGTATGATTTACCACGGATATAATATAGTTCAGACTGAGTATGATTTTGAACGTATGATTTACCACGGATATAATATAGTTCAGACTGAGTATGATTTTGAACGTATGGTTTACCACGGATATAATTTATTTCAGACTGAGTATGATTTTGAACGTGAGATTTACCACGGATATAATATAGTGCAGACTGAGTATGATTTTGAACGTGTGATTTACCACGGATATAATTTATTTCAGACTGAGTATGATTTTGAACGTGTGATTTACCACGGATATAATTTAGTTGAGACTGAGTATGATTTTGAACGTGTGATTTAACACGGATATAATTTAGTTCAGACTGAGTATGATTTACGTAGATATAACTTAAAACGTACGAGTTAAGACCATGAAAAATCTGGGAAGACAAAGTTTTCAGGATGTGAACTGGAAAAACATCTTGGGACTTGTGAGTTTGGATAACACAGTTTGTAGTGTGAGTTTGAATAATACGGTTTCGACACGTGAGTTTGTGTGCGCATAGCTCTAAGTTAAATCCACTGTGTAAACCGAGAGGTTAATATTTTGGTCGGTAGCCTTAAGGGTTTTTTGCTGATTTATGCGACTTCTGAACCAGATTTCAATTAACCGAATAAAATTAAAGTGAATCATCGAACCCGATTTAATCTAGCACGTAGAAAATAAATTCAAGAAATTCGCACTACAACTGTTTGTTTTATTTTAAAAGCAAGTTTGCACAATGTGCTACCTAGACTGTGCCCATCGCAGGGATCGAACCGTGGACTTTAACGTTGTATACCGTAAATCTTTCCGCTGAGCCACCGAGGGCCACGTAGCAGACAAATACCTTTGAAGAAACCCCTACTGTTTTTGACATGTTTGTTCGGCACTCACTATCTGCCTTGCATGACCAAAAAAACATTATTATTATATATATATATATTCTTATTCATTTATTTGACCATGTCATCACTGGGTCAAAAACTAAAAACTAACTTCGTCGTTCCACTGGCATGATAGCAGATTCCGCATAGCACAGTCACAGCTCCCTCCCTTCCTCCCTCCAGATTGGAAGAATTTTCAGAAAACTGGAAGGCATATGAGACTGAAAACATATGATATGTAAGCGTTGTGAAAATCATGAAATGCTTGCTGGTTGGGAGTTTTATAGTTAAGAAGAACAACTTCTGATTTAATTACTTAAAACATGCAAATAACAGTACATATAGTTAGGGACTGTAGTTTTAATGACTGTTTTAAACATTAAAATTTAAGATCAGAATAATCAATGCAAGGCTGGATTTTTTTGATAGATGCCTTTTCTTCTCACTGTGCTTCATTCGCGGTTATTTTTCCCTGACAAGATATTTGGATGAATAGTGTAAAATATACACAAATGTGGGCATGTTTCTATATTTATCTTAACTTTGTATGTTATACTAGACCAACATGCACACTAGCCCAAGAGCACCATATCTCCTGGCAGCACAGGTGTAAGGAGACAACCTGCACGTGCACGGTTGACGTCGTTCTTCGACACTTTAGGACTAGAATAAATACACCAGTCTGTGTGTCGGCCCACATGTTCGTTTCTGCTACAGGCGCTGTCTCATAATTCTCACCAGTTTTTACTGATTGAACACCAGCAGAGAGTTCTTCCAGGCGCCTATAGCAGCAAAAGATAAAAACAAAAATGTTCAAGGAAGAGGATTAAATAAATACAGCACGTCAAACTAGGTTCACACATTCTAGCTAAAAATAGAAGTTTAAAGAAGGTTCAGAGATTCTGAAAGTACATTAACTAACTGCTATAACTGTTAATACATTTGGAACAATTAAAATAAACGTTGCCATGTGCTCATAAATTCATAGACGTCTCACTCATGAACAATCTGTATTGAAGAGGAACACGGTTAATAAACGTTATGTATATAGATACATATGACATAGATAACACCAAAGCTGAACAAAGAGCTAACAACGCCTTTCAAACTGGGATAAACTTATCATGACTGAGATAGACAAAAAGTGAAAAAAATCATCGAATGATAAATGTTAGTTACCGTTCATTCTTGGTCAGTTGTGCTGCCGTTTAGATAGAGCAGGGGAGGGGCGACTTCTCATCCCCCTACTGTTCTTAATACTTGTTTGTTTGTTTGTTTTTTGAATTTCGCGCAAAGCTACACGAGGGCCATCTGCGCTAGCCGTCACTAATTTAGCAGTGTAAGACTAGAGGGAAAGCAGCTAGTCATCACCACCCACCGCCAACTTTTGGGCTACTATTTTACCAACGAATAGTGGGATTGACCGTCACATTATAACGCCCTCACAGCTGAAAGGGCGAGCATGTTTGGTGGGACGGGGATTCGAACCTGCGACCCTCAGATTGCGAGTCGAGCACCCTAACCACCTGGCCATGTTCTTAATACATTTGTTCATTTTGGAATATACATATATAATGTGTAGTTTGAGATATATGAATGATTATTAAATCACATAAGACATAATCAGGGAAAATATTTCCAAAATATATAGATTTTTACATTTTAACCTTAAAAACAAAAGAAGACTGTTCAAGGGCCCAAGAACTTTGAACCTTCAACAAATGTTGACACCCCAAACAAGTGAATTATTATTGATTCACTTTCAGTTGGTTTGGTAAGTTTAGAAAATAAAAAGTAAAGTTCAATGTATAAAAGTCTTAGGGTCAACTTTTAGGTCACATTTTTTTGTATATTTTACTTCTTTTTTTTACTTTTATAAGATAATTTATATATATATAACTTAAAAAAAAACAATTACTATTATCTTTTCTTTTCTTTTTTTACAGGATTAAGTTTTCCCTCAAAGTATAATGTTCTGTCACCACTTGTCATGGATTTGTTTTGAGAAAATATGATGTCCTGGTCAAGCTTTTATCACTTTTGTTGGAGTGTCTCTAGAAGTTGGATATTGGTTAAATTTTCATCATCTCTTATGGAATATGGTGGTCAAGATGTAACAGCTGTCAGTGACTGTCTTTAGAAAGCAGAAGATCCTGGTCAAGTTATCTCCATCTGTCAGGGAATGTTTCGGACAGTACAAAACAATGTCCTGATCAAACTGTTACCTCCTGCCATGGATTATCCTGGTCAAGCTATAATAGCTGTCAGTAACTGTCTGTAGAATTAGAAAACTGTGTTCAAGTTATCTCTGCATGTTAAAGACTGGTTCTAGAAACAGAAATCCTGGTCCAACTTCTACAAATGTATGCCCTCATGAAGCTGTTACTGTTTATCAGTGATTTTTATAAGATGTTCCAGTTACACTATCATAATCTGTTATGAACTGTCCCTCTGAAACAAAATATTCTGGTTAATTTAAGAAGTAAATGCTTTCACCAAATTGCAGTAAATTTCTAAAACAATCTTTATAAAATAAAAACACACCAGCAAAGCTATTACCAACATTTATACACTGTCTGTAACAAGTATAAATACTCCAAACAACATATCACCCACTCTACTAAACTATCGTTAGCAAATAAACAGTACTCCAACAAAGATGACATCAATTTTCCTACTTTCTTCAGCAAGTAAAAAGTAATCCAACCAAGTTATCAACAACTCTTCTAGATTATCTTTAACAAGTAAAAATACTCTAACTAAGTTATCAACAACTCTTCTAGATTATCTTTAACAAGTAAAAATACTCTAACT